TATGGAGTTGGAGTTGAGGTCGGTGAGCCTCAGGGGGCCCACGAGACAGGGGGCACGCCCAGGGGGTGGGCGCGCCCCCCACCCTCATGGACAGGGTGTGGGCCCCTGGTCTTGATTCTTTCGCCAGTATTTTTATATTTTCCAAAACTTGCCTCCGTGGATTTTCACGTCATTCCGAGAACTTTTGTTTTCTACACATAAAACAACATCTTGGCAGTTCTGCTGAAAACAGCGTCAGTCCGGGTTAGTTTCATTCAAATCATGCAAGTTAGAGTCCAAAACAAGGGCAAAAGTGTTTGGAAAAGTAGATACGTTGGAGATGTATCAGCCACCGCCCGATCTACAATGTCATTTCTGACCTTCCCTACCTCGTCCACGGCTAGATCCGGTCATTCCCCAATGCCATGCACCAATGTGTCGTCGGATTCGCACCCGTTGGCCTTCCCTAGTCCTGCAACACCATCGCCGCGTAAGTTGCATCACGCCGAGGACGTCTACAAATCCAGGCATGATTTTTCCTCTCTACAAGTATCTAGCATCCCAAACCTCTGGTCACCGGCTGCAAGTAAGAGACCTTTGTATGGTCGTCTGACCAACCGCTGCTTGAGCCTAATGTAATTGTCCATGAGGAGCTTCTAGATGCCACGGGGGTCGGTATCCTCAAGGGAAAAAACATGTGACAAGCCGCGGCGACGCAACCCGGCACCACCACTAGAGCATGAGGAGGTTAGAGTTTGTCACCCCGATCTGGCTAGGAGTTGATTAAAACGATGTGCAAAATCACTTTCAGCTCAGCTTGTGATGCATGCAACTACTATGAATTGGGATCGATCCATTCTTTGTTGCGTCTCTCTATATTTTCCTCTCTTGATTAATTTTTCAATTTTTTCTCTTCGTGGATTCCGTGTGAAACGAAGCCGGCACTGCACATTGTGACAGGAGTCTCTGCAAATTACTTGCCTAATGGTTCTGCATTTGGAATAATTAGTAGCTGCATTTGTGAAGTTTTTTTTCATTTCAAATGTTATAGACAACTAGAAAAGGCAATCTATTGTATGAGTTGTCTATACCGCTATCTAGAGATGACAGGAAGAGCTGCTATGTACAAACACCAGAGTAACTTTTGATCGAGAAAAACAATTCTTGAAAACATAACCTCACACCCACCCTGATAACTTCTGTGCAAATACCGTGATAATTTACGCACAGCGGAGCTGATAACCTGTGTACAAACCCGTCAATAACTTATGACTCAGTGGAAGTTGTTGAAAAACATACCCCCATGACTCATGTGCAAATAGCATGATAATTTATGCATAGCGGAGCTAATAACCTATGTACATACTACCACGGATCTGATGATTTAGGTACAATCATTATGGTAACTTTTTTCTCGGGGAAAAGTTGTTGAATACACACACACCCTGATAACTTACTTTTGAACGAAGGGGGGGGGGGTTGTTGGAAAACATACCTTTTGTGCAAAATAGCACGGTAATACACGTACCGCAAACGTGAAAACTTAGATACAAGCACTATGAAACTTTTCTACGTGTGGAAATTGTTTGTTGAATGCACACCCTCGATAACTTCTATATAAATACGATGGTAATAGACACATTGCAGACCTGATAACTTAGGTATAAAAATCGCGGTAACTTTGATCGAGAAAAAAAGTTGTTAACATAACCCCAACAAATTCTTCGTAAATATCATGATAACATATGCATCATGGACTTGATAACTTAGGTACAAAAGCTGCGGTAACTTTAACCCGAGGAAAACGTTTGTAAAACACGTCGATAACTTTAACATGCAGTAATTTTGAAAATACAACCTGGTAACCTATGTGTAAATAACATGTTAATACAAGCAACACACACCTGATAACCTATCTACAAATATGTCGGTAACTTTTTGATGGGGATATTGTTGAAAAACACACCTCTATTAATTTTTTTTGTAATTAGCACAGTAAAATAAACATCGTAGACCTGATAACTGATGCATAAACACCATGGGTATGTTTTAGACGTGGGAGAATGATAAGTAAAAAACATAACGCGACGACTTCTCTATAAATAGTGTGGTAGTATACATTGCACATGCATGATAATATACGCTCCCGGGCCTAATAATTTAGGTACAAACACCACGATTACTTTAACCCGGGGAAAAATTTGTTGAAAACAACCCCGCTAACCCATGCCAGCTATGAGTAAATCACATGGTAATAAACGCACTGCAGACCTAATAACTTAGATACAAACACAACGTTAACTTTGACCTGGGTAAAAAGATGTTAAAAACATACCATCGATATTTTTTGTGTAAATAGCATGATACTATAGGCTCTCGGACATGATAACTTAGGTACAATCACCACGATAACTTTTGATCCGTGAAAAAAAGTTGTTGAAAACATATCACCGATAACTTTTGTGTAAATAGCATTGGTAATATAGGCTCCAGGACCTGATAACTTAGGTACAAACATCACGATAATTTTGAACCAGGTAAAAAGATGTTGAACACATGCCAGCGATTTTTTTTTGTAAATAGCATGATAATATAGTCTCTCGGACCTGATAACTTAGGTACAAACACCACGATAACTTTGCCTCGTGAAAAAAGTTGTTGGAACATACCACCGATAATTTCTGTGTAAATAACATGGTAATATATGCACCCGGGTCTGATAACTTAGATACAAACACCACGATAACTTTGACCCGAGGAAAAATTGTTGAAATCATACCCTCGACAAGTTTTATGTAAACAGCATGGTAATATACGCATCACATGCCTGATAACTTAGGTACAAAACACTGTGGTAACTTTGACATAGGAAAAAAGTTGTTTAAAACATACCACCAAATAACATCTGCGTAAATAGGATGATAATATACGCATAGCAGAGTTGATACTTTACTTAGCCCAGACATGGTAACTTTTGACTGAGAAATAAAGTCATCAGAACATACCAACACGAGATCTAGTTTCAAAGGTCATGCCGTGGCGGATTTTTCTTTTTTGCGAAAACGGATTTTGAGTCCGGTAGACTATTTGAGTTACACAGCATTTCAAAGTTTCAAAACAGGAAGAATCTACGATGAAATTAGGTTATCTGCCATTTTTAGAGCATCTCTAACAGGTGCACAAAAACTCCTCCGCGTGCTAAAATTTGGAATTTTTTTTTGGCGCTGGACAGCTCCAACAGAAGCTGTAAAATAGTACACACGCAAAAAAGGACTGGACAGGCGCTAAAAAACACAATCAGAAGCTGCAAATTTGAGGCACCGGATTGCGTGCGCTTCACAATTTGCACTGCGTATTTTTTAGGGCGCGCGTTTTTGGGATCTGCTAAACCAATGTTGGGTTCGGCGCGCTAAAAGTGCTACAGTGGCGCACTAAAACTATTTTAGAGCGCAAAACTTTTATGCACCCGTTGGAGATGCTCTTAGTGCATTTGCATGTGAGGAGAAAGTTGGAGAAAATCATTTTCATGTCCGAAATTCGCAAATGTAAATATCTTGGATAACTTACGTGCTATAAACGTGATAACTTGCATACCTCCAGCATGGTAACTTTTTATTCGCAAAAAATATCGTCGGAACATATCAACATGGGATCTAGTTCAAAGATCTCGTCACGATGGTTCTTTTATATGATAATAATTTTTTGATCCGACCGACTGTTTGAACTGTAAAACATTTTTTATTGTAGATTTCTTTATGTCGTCAATTTTGTTTTATATGCATGCATGCAAGACTTATTCGGGTTTGCACGTAGTTGCTCTCGCATTCTGTTTGTTTTTTTTTTTTTTGAGAAATTCTCTCGCATTCTGTTGCTTTTAATAATCTGAACTCAGTCTACTTAATCTAGGATGCTTGATACACTACGCAATCGTGGATCTATTCCTTAAAATCAGAACGGTCAGGCGTTAGTCCAGTCCCTATTTTGTCCCGCAAAAGATATTTTGTTGTGATTTTTTATCCTTTACTTCGGAGAAGTGATCAGTAGAAATGCATGATTTATACTCACACGAATTCCACGTGCATCGGTTGTGACATGTGTTGGACGTGCAAGTTTTTACTGATAATTTGTGAGGGAATCTAGGTTTCTTATGGGAACACTTCATTTTTTCCGTCGATGGAAGTATCCTTTCATTGGGGGCGACTTAATTGCAATGCCTGACGCACCGCACGTTCAGTGCATTGTGCACATGAACGAAATATAGTCGAATCTCAGGAATGCCCACACAGAACGATCTTATCCATGTTGCCCAGCAGTCTCACAATTAAATAAGACACAAAGTAACAAAATATGTATAACTACATATGTTTAAGAAAAACTTTATCAAGTACTCCCTCCGTTCCGAATTACTTGTCGCACGTATGGATGTATCTAGATGTATTTTAATTCTAGATACATCCATTTTAGCGACGAGTAATTTGAAACGGAGGGAGTATCTGTTTGGGGTACAAAAATTGAAATGGATTTAGATGACTGCTTTCTGAAATAACATTTGCAAGGACAGGATGGAAAATGCATAGCACTTTGCATGTTACAACTTACAACTGACAGAGGCCACAAAGGCACACTAGCAAGCGCTAGCAGGAAAGACAGTATAATGGAACATAATTTAGCCCGATTTTATCTCATAATTCAAAGATACAGGTGAGGGTGAAACTATGGTGAACCAGTACAATGTACATCAAACATTACCGTCTAAATTTGTTGCTCTTATTACAGAATGACGCTAATCAATGGTACATAAGGCAAAGAGATGGATGGAAACACACAAAGACACTTAAAACTACTCCGTATGTGTTAGGCAGAGAATATCACAACCATAGTCATCTAAATGACAGAAAAAGGCGAAAGAATAGTTCGCTTTGCGCTAAAAGAAAAAAGAAAAAAGAAACCGTTTCGAAAAAAAGAATGACAGAAAAATACTGACAATGGAGGTATCATATCGAATACAGATATCGCACCATCTATGTGACCTTCTTCAAGAATTGTACCTTCTCAAACTCTGGGGTGGCATAACTCTTGTCCACCTCCCATGCATGATGAGCCATCATGTTGAATGACGATTTCACCGCCTTCTGGTCAGAGACCTGCCTTGAGAAAGGTATCCGAACAGCGAAGATGCCTTCCTCAGAATGAACGTGCAAGTCAAAACCAAGTCTGTCTACCCAAATCATCTTCACATCCAATGCCTATTACCACACATGGGACACAGTTAATTCTACTGTAGCAAAACAGTTCAAAAGCTTCCTAGTAGTTGCATATGGTATCTTATAGGAATATAAAATGAGGTCTTCTAAAAAATGAAATCAGAAATTTCCTACACGGCTAAATTTCTGTTTCTTCTAAAAAAGAAAAAAAAAAGATGCTCAATTTATATCCATCTTCAATTTCTTAACTCATATGTCTGGTGCACAAGTTAGTTGTGCCTTTTTGCTTTGAAGTGCAAGAAGCTGAATATAAATAACTCTACAGCTCTATGTTAACTTCCAAGGAAACAAAATATGTGTTTCCATTAGGTTTTCTTTTTCCCAAGAATTGAGAAACAAACCAAGGATTAACAGAATAAGTTGAATACAACCTGAAAATCTGATTCGGCATAAATATTGTATATCCTATGAACATCTTCAGCATGTTCACTGTTCATTTCCTCAACAACTCTTTCAGCAAAGTTTCGAAGTGGATCTGGTTCTGCATCACTGTATTCTGACGGGACTACCCACACACGGCCCTGGATAGAAAAAGTATGCAACATCACCATCTTGATCATTAGCAAATTTCTAGTGCCAAATTGCACTGGCAAAATCCAAGTACAGAAAAAAATTCAGAGCATTAATCATTGATGCAAAATGAAAACTACAATGTACTAAGGTATTGTAGACTCTTCAACATGTATCTATGAGCAGCAAAAAAATATGAAGTGAAACACAAATCAGTAAATTCATAACATGCTAAAGATGGATCTTAAATATATGATACTAAAGGCAATTAGCAAAATAGAAGGCAGTTGAGAAACCATTTTGGTAACCATATAATATTCAGGTAGCATCATTGTTATGTGCAGAACCATATGGTCGGTGGGCCCCAGCCCCGGCCGCACCACCCCCTGGTCCAGCCGAAAGTGGCTAGGATTCTTGTACTGCTACAAGTTATTACGATCAGATTTGTATTAGGTGTAGAGTCCAGATTAGTTATTAGGTTCAGATTCGTATTAGGTACAGAGTCCAGATTAGAACCTGTTTCAGAGACCAGATTGTATTTCCTTCGAGTCGGCTTGTCAGCCAAGCTATTCCTCCTATATGTTAGTGCTTCTCCCGAGATTAATAAATCATCAGAATTCAGACTATTACTATCTATTAGGCTGAGTAATTAGAGTCTGTTCCATCTGGTATCAGAGTCATCTACGACGGCGGACGATGACAAAGTCGAAGGTGGCAACACCAACCTCATGCTCAAGGAGCTAACGACCCAGATGAAGGAGGTGGTGGCGCAACGGACCACTGATCAGGCCTTCATGGAGGGCCTCGTCCAGCACCTTGACGCCCTGGAGCAACGACCAGCACTCCACCACCTTCTGCCCTGGTCGACCCTCGAGCATTGGCGCTCAGCTTCACTGACCCACACGCGGTGTTTCACCTGGCAGCTAGCGACTCCTCCGCCTCCTCCACTCCGGCCCATGCCACGACCACCCCCACCCTCGTGAAAACAGGATCTAATCCACGCCTTCCCCCACCATCGTCACTACCGCGCTTTCCAGCCTCCCAGTTCTTTCCACAGCAAACTGGCCCTCCACCAGCCCATCACCAACCCCTTGTTTACCCTCCGTTCAACCCAGCTTTCCACCACGCATCTCTGCCACCGCTGCCCTACCAACAGCCACCCACCAATCCTAATCACCCACTTCCTCAAACACTACATACCCAGCCCACAAATGCAATCTCACAACACCTCACGTCAATTGCCCCCCTCCCATACCAGCACCAAGGTGCTGGCTCCGGCTCCTTGTCCCAAGCTTCCACAAGCTCGACTTTCCAACTTACCATGGTTCCGTCGATCCACTCAGCTGGCTTCATAGGTGTGAGCAATCCTTCCGGGTTCAGCGCACGGAGGAGACTGACAAGGTGTGGACAGCGGCATACCACCTTGTCGACAATGCTCAGTCGTGGTACCTCCAGTTTGAGCGCGATCATGGAATTCCCTCCTGGCAGCACTTCAAAGAGGCGTGACACCTTCAGTTTGGGCAGTCTGTACACGCCAACCCCTGGGTAAGTTGGCTCGGCTTCCACACCTCCACCGTTGCCGACTACGCCAGCAGATTTATAGCGCTGCTGCGTAGGACCAACTAGCCCTTAAGCTCAGTGCAGCAACGTATCTTGTACACACCCGGGCTCCCCGAGGGCCTCAAAGTCAATGTCGAGCTTCAGCAGCCGATGGACCTCCACACGGCAGTCTCCCTCTCTAAGGCATATGAACAATGCCATCCGTTCCCAGCACCAATGCCGCGTGGAGGCCGACCTCGCTGCCTGCTGCTCTTCCCGCACCACAGGCCGTTCCTGCTGCAGCTGCTGCCCCTACACCAGCTCCTTGCGCTACACGTTGCCTCACACCCACCGAGACGGCAGAACGACGCCGCCAAGGCCTCTGCTACAACTGCGACGAGCAGTACGTCCTGGGTCACCGGTGTGCACGCTTGTTCCTCATCAAGCTCGACGACTTTGCGCCCGGGGATGCACCTCTGGAGGATGAACCAAAGACACCACTTCATCCATTTGTGGTGGAAAGTGAGGATGTTATATGTCACTGAAATGATGCTGATACATAAGCATTAGGTCTTTGTGGTTGTTTGACACATTTTTCACTCCTGTAAAAACTATACCAATTCTAGAGAAGTGGTCGACCACACACTCTCCACCCTCATTCGAGTGCTCATCAAAAGGAATATTAGAGAGTGAGAAGATTGCTTACCCATCGCCGAGTTTGTCTACAACCTGCAAGACACTCAACAACATTCAAGTCTCCGTTCGAGGTTGTCTATGGGTTCAACCCACTTTCACCCTTGGACATCTTATCGGTACCTCACCAAGAGCTCACCAATATGAATGCAAGTGCCCGCGCCGAGTTCATGAAGATAATGCACAATGACACAAGACTCACCATTGAGCGAAAAGTTCAACGCCACACCGACAAGGTCAACTTCACCAAGAAGCCTACGGTGTTCATTACCGGTGACCTCGTGTGGGTGAACCTTCGCAAAGATCACTTCTCAAAAGAGTGCAAGTTCAAGTTACTTCCATGAGCCGACGGTAGCGACAACGCATACAAGATTTACATCCCGTTGGATAAGTACTCGGTGAGCGACACCTTCAACTTCACCGACCTTGCGCCTTTTCATGGTGATTAGGATCTTGATCCGAGGACGGATCTTACCAAAGGGGGAGATGATGTGGAGCATCCCATGGACATCACCATGAACCCATCATCAACCCCACAAACTCCAAGTGGACTGATGACATGAGCTCGCGCATGAGCCATTCAAACCAAGGTGACTTCATTACTCTCTGAGCTCCCCATGCATTCATCTGAGACATTGCTACTACCTCAATCCGAGATCTGGTGCATGCTCAAGTACAAGGAACCACCCATGAAGAATCAAGGGAAGAAGTTTGAGCCGTGGAGAAGGGAGAAGAAGGGGAGGAAGAGTTGCCACAAACAGGCAATAGAACAGTCCGGAAGAATCATCCTGGAAAGCCCAGTCACAGTCAGAGAATCGCAAGAGAGACCGGCCAACTGTCAAGCTCTCGCGCCCTGGATATCCGAGAGCAAAAACTCAAAGCCTGACGGAGGCCGAACTGTCAGGGCTTGACGTCGGACTGTCTGGCCACTTCAGTCCCGGACTATTCAGCCACCGAGTTTGCCAGTCCGCTGACGCCCGCGCCATCTAGGAGAAAGGCACGCATTAAGGCCCGAACTGTCCAGGCTAATTTCAATTGGACTGTCCGGCCAACTGCCTACAAGCAGGAATCTGGCTGAATGACAATGTATCTCTCCTCCCCACCTACCCCTTCGTCCGTAGACTAAATAAACCGTAACTTAGGCCAGATCTAGGGTTAGCAAAGTATAAACTAAGAACTTGAGAGAGCTTAGTTATTCCAAAAAAAACTTGAGCTTTGGTCGATCTATCTCCTCTAGTAGGTGTCGTGGGTGTAGGTCTAACAGTAGTGTACGGGGGTAATAGCCCTACTTCTGAGCCCAGCTACGACGCAGTTGTTACACACAGATTTACAAGTTCAAGCCCCTCATGGTGGAGGTAATAGCCCTACGCCTCGGTGCTCAGGAGCTGATTGATTAGAGTGTAGATTAGAAAGATTGTGAACCCTTGCTATGGAGCCGGGGGG